GACTGGCTGCCTCCTGCACGCCCCTCACTGGGGATAGAGGCTGCAACCCGGGCCTGTGCCCTGACAGGAAATCCAACCGTGACCTCCTGGTTCCTAAGTCAATGCTCAACCACTGAGCCACGCCGGCCGGGCTATATGTGTTTCTTTAACACAATAAACAACAAGATCTGATGGGGCCTAACAGTTACTGTATCTTTGAAACAGTGATGAGCATAAATGGTATTCCAACTTCTCTGTCACCATGGCAACATGCTCTGAAAATGTCTGTAATTTCTATTGGTGACAAGTCACAGGTATTGCTAGTAGCATTGTGGTGTGTTCTCTCCCTGCACAACAGAGGAAAATGCTCGATTGCAGCTGGAGGACAATGAAAACACAGATAGACTCTCTCCCCAAGACCCCAGGGTAAGAATGTCTACTTTGGAAATATGCTATGGAGAGCCCCCTGACCTGACATCCTCCTCCCCCGGAGGGAAGAAAGCAAAGAGCTAAAAACATTGAAAGAGAGGTGCTCTTCACTGCCGCGGGGGGTGGGGGGAATTAATGATAAAGGCCCTCCTGGAGGAATGACATTTGAGCTGGGGGTTCGAAGACTGACTGCTAGGCCTCAGGCGGGCAGAAACCAGGGCGGGAAGAGACAGATCTTCAGGAGCGGGCCTGGGCGGGCCTGCATTGGCGGGAAGGTGGGTAATGAGTTCCATACGCTGGTTTCCACAGGGAGCCCTTGATCTCGAAGGTCCCTTGTCTGCCAAGACCAGGAGCGGCTCAGAGGCTCAGGCGTCAGCGCCACCCTGCTCCCGGGCTTGCCGAGACCACAGGCCTGCCTGATTCTGGAGGGGAAAGGGGCACCTTTCGGGTTGGGGGTAGTCAGGGGCGAGTCCCAGCTGGCCCTCTGCCTCCCACCCCACAGCTTGTTCAGGAAGACCTGCTCCCCCAGGAAGGCATGGCGATTTGATCTGTCAGGGGGGTGGCATTTTGATAGCTCACTTGCATTATCCTAGCTTTAAAGTTGTTTGCCCGACATAGTCATTCCTTCTCAGTGAGTTGGCTCTTCAGGGGAAAGGGGAACTGGCACTGTTGAGCTCTGCACGCTCCGGCCTGCATCGCCCTCTGCCTCTACCCTTACAAGGACTGGTGTGAGGGATGGGAAATGGAATTCCCACAGGCTCCCTATCTTGCCATGCAGGTCGCATAACTAGTCCTGCGGAGGAGGGAGAATTTACACCCAGAAGGTGCAGGCTGAAAATAATCCTGACCCTCACCGAAGAGCCTGTCTGGTTGCAGTATTGCTTCAGAAATAAATAAAAGTCGACCAGAAACAAAAATGAACAAGCAAAAGCAGCCCAGCCAAGGAGGGTCCCTAACAAGCCAGCCCACCTCTGCTTGCGTCTATGAAAGAAACTGAAACGGGACCCACGCCGTGTTCTTTTTCGTTAGGCTTTTGATGAAGTTTTAAAAAATTGGATGTGTTTATTTCAAATAACATATTTAGAGCACCTAAAAAGTAAACGGTTTCATGGAATGAGGCTTAGAATAATAAAAACTGGCAGCCCTGAGCCCGGCATACTGGATTCTTGCTCCCACGGACAGCCAGTTGCTTCCAGCCGCTACCTCCACTCTACAGCATGTCCTCAGGAGCCGTGAGCCTGTGTGGGTGCTGTGCTCGGATTCCTGGAGATTTACATTCTTATTCACTCACCCTCCATGTCGAAGTCCATTGTTTGGATCCCAGACCTTCCTTTCCCTTCACTGATTTACTTCTTTGCTTTTGAAAAGTCCTCTGGCAGCTTCCTGAGACTGGGTGGGGAAGTGCCCGCAAAGGTCTTTGTTCAGGCTTCAACCTTGATTGACAGTCAGGCTGGGTATGGGATTCTAGCATGGAAAGCCTTTCCTCTCCGACTCTCAAAGGCCTGGCTCCATTGTCTTCTAGCTTCCAGTCCGCTTGCTTGAAGCCACGTTTCCTACAATTGCTGTGCGGCTCCCTTCCTTCCCGTCCTGCCTGGGGGAGAGCCGCCTCCGCTCTACCTCTCTGACCTCCAACCCAACTCCCTCCAACTCCCCTGGCCCCTAAGCCCCTCAAAGATTTGTTTATTTTTTAGTTGTTAACTTTTGTTGTTAATCCTCACTCGAGGATACTTTTTCCATTGATTTTTAGGGAGAGTGAAAGAGAGGGGATAAGAAACATCGATGTGAGAGAAACACATCCACTGGTTGACTCCAGCATGAGCCCCAACCAGGGCCTGGGCCGGGGAGGAGCCTGCAGCCAAGGTACATGCCCTTGACCAGAATCGAAGCTGGGACCCTTTGGTCCACAGGCCAATGCCCTATCCACTGAGCCACACCGGCTAGGGCTATTTTTTAGTGTGTTTTTTTTAATTCAAACTTTTTATTATTATTTTGTATTCATACTCATATGCTATGTACAGCATAGCGGTTAGACAATCATATACTTTACAAAGTGTTCCCCCTATATTTCCAGGACCCATCTGGCACTATAGTTAGTTATTTCAATATTGACAATACCTCCTGTGCTGTAAGGGTCCCTGTCTGTACAATCTCTCCTGCCCTCCCGTCCTTGTTGTCTGTGTGTCCCTCCTCCTGATTCTGCCACACAGACGCCCAGACCTGTGAGCCGATGGCACTATAGTTAGTTATTTCAATATTGACAATACCTTCTGTGCTGTAAGGGCCCCTGTCTGTACAATCTCTCCTGCCCTCCTGTCCTTGTTCTGTGTGTCCCTCCTCCTGATTCTGCCACACAGACGTCCAGACCTGTGAGCCGGACATACAGGTTAATGGCCACGATCCAGAACAGTAAGGAAGGGACCAACACCCCGATGAAAAGGTACGTTCCTCCCCAAAGCCCCTGCTTCGTTTCCCGCTCTACCAATGCGTTTTTCTGCCAGAGTCAGGCAGACCGAGTCCCTTGCGGGAGCTCTCCGAGCGATTTGTAAATGCTTGTCCCCGCACCTAGAGCAGCCCTGCTCCGTTTCCCACCAGAGAAATGGCAGTAGCATCGCGTCATGTGACATACAGGTTAATGGCCACGATCCAGAACAGTAAGGACTGGACCAACACCCCGATGAAAAGGTACGTTCATAGCCCTGATCGGTTTGGCTCAGTGGATAGAGCGTCGGCCTGCGGACTCAAGGGTCCCGGGTTCGATTCCAGTCAAGGGCATGTACCTTGGTTGCAGGCACATTCCCGTGGGGAGTGTGCAGGAGGCAGCTGATCGATGTTTCTAACTCCCTATCCCTCTCCCTTCCTCTCTGTAAAAAATCAATAAAATATATTAAAAAAAGAAAAAAAAGAAAGAAAAGGTACGTTCATAGAATAAAGGGCCCCTAGAAGCGGAAAGGGAGCCCGTCTTCCTTTCTCTGTCCCTGTCAGAGTGTGGGCTCAGCCAGCTGGACACGTGTGTCGGGGCCCTCGGATGAGGAGCGATGGTTGGAAGCTGTACCCTGGGGTAGCCAGCAGCATGCTTCCTCCCCACGGATTCTGGCTGTTCAGTGAGGTCCTGGCTGCCTCCTGTTACTGTCAGGCTGCCCAGTGTCTGATGCCCCCTCCCAAGATTGGGGAACTCCCCACACCTTAGGAATCTGATTGGGGGCTCCTTGCCCAGGCTGCACCAATCAGAGGCCTGGCCCTGTCCTTGACCAGAGAGCCACACGGCTGAGGAGCAAGGCCACAAGATGGGGTTTGCAACCAAGGCCAGATATCAATGTGGGAGGGCGATACACTTCTAACAAAAACACAAACATATTTTGTACTTTTTGGAGTGTTTGCATGTGTTATCCTTTAGAAAAACTTTATTTTTAGGAGAAATACTGATTTGCTCTTCCACTTACTGATGCATTATTGGTTAATTCCGGTAAGTACCTGACTAGAAATCAAACTCACAACCTTGGCATATTGGGACGACGCCCTAACCTGCTCAAAAATACTCATCACGGCAATAGTTTTATGAGCCCAAATCCAACAATCTGAATGTCCGATAATGGGTCAATAAAACCCTGACAGTCATGAGAATGACTGTTTATATAGTCATCGCTCAGGAAACAATTTTTATAACATGAAAAATGCTTACGTTACATAAAAATGTAGAAAACACAACTGTTTATGGAGTGGCAAACACAAGGATGTACAAAATAAGAGACCAAAATATAGCAAAATGTTAAGGAAAAAAGAAGAGAGAGAGACAGGGAAGGAGGACGTAGAAACCACCTTTCCGTAGATTGTGTCTAGGAACAGTTTGCGGTTCCCTCCCCACACCCCGAAGCTCCCCTGGCTACACTGTCTCTGGGAGGCACGCTGGAGCCGCGAGTGCACTATTTTGCCGCAGCCTGTGGCGTGGACCACATGGCACGGGCTCCCTGTAGGACCAGGAGTCCCTGGGCGCTGCCCTTGCCTCTGACGCCCAGGCGCCCCTGGAACTGGGCTCTGCCTGGAGCAGGGGCCTCCCATTTGACTCCATTCCTAGTCCCTGTCCCCTTCAAAGAGGCTGGGAAAGTTAACTCCAGTTTGGGGGTCCCTCCACCCCCACAAGTGGCCCAGCCTCACCCTGAGTCAATCTGCTGGCCCACAGCTGGCCCCATGAGAGCTGTGGCTGCAGGTGCCCAGGCCAGGGGCTGGGGTGGCTCGTGGGCACACAGGCATGGTGGCTCCTGTGCCCAGCCCAGAGTTCCATCCTGTGCCTTCCTCAGCTGAGCCCCGAGGCCTCTTCCTGGAGCCCTGGAGGGAGCCTGGCCTCAGGCTGATGGCACAGGGTCAGGGTTCTGCCCTCCAGGAGCCAGAAGACAGGGTGGAGGGGCTGGGTGAAGATGGCGTGGAAGGTGTGCAGGCGCTGGGTCTCAGGCTCCAGGCTGTAGAAGGTGAGGCAACCAGAGGCCAGGTCCAAGTCCACGCCCAGCAGCTTCCCTGGCACCCCTCGGAGGCGCTGGACCTCCCCGTTGTGCCAGGCCTGGGCGCTGTCCTCCTGAACACAGAGCCCCCACGAGCTGGGCCCACGGCCGATGTTGTCCGTGTAGGGCCCCAGCTTGCGCCGTGCCAGGTCGGGGTAGGCGACGCCCAGTGTCACCAAGTGGTTCGATGTGTGCACCTCCCAGTAGTGCCGCCCAGACTGAAAGCTCTGGGTGCACTGCACCTGCCAGAGCTCGAAGCTGCCGGGCTCAGCCGGGCTTCGGGGCTCTCGCCGGTGCTCCACCCGCTGGTCCTGCCGAGACAGGTAAAGGTGGCGGTTGGCACTCTCCGGGTCGAAGGTCAGATTGCGATAATCTGTTGGGGAGAGAAGGGCTGGAGGTGAGCGGGCAGGGTGCCTGTGCCTGTCCACGCTCCACCGATGGCACATTAAACCCCTGACGGGCACGCTGCCCGCTGAGCGAGCGCTCAATCCTGGCGGCAACCTCTGAGGCAGAACCGTCCGTTAGCCTCATTTCACAGATGAGAACACTGAGGTCCAGAAAGGGAAGTAACTTGACAGAAGTGGAAGAAGCAAGACGGATCCAGCTTTGTGTGCCTAGACCAGTGATGGCAAACCTTTTGAGTTCGGCGTGTCAGCATTTTGAAAAACCCTAACTTAACTCTGGTGCCGTGTCACCTAGAGAATTTTTTTGATATTTGCAACCATAGTAAAACAAAGATGTGTGTGTGTATATATATATATAATATTTTATTGATTTTCTACAGAGAGGAAAGGAGAGAGATAGAGAGTTAGAAACATCGATGAGAGAGAAACATCGGTCAACTGCCTCCTGCACACCCCCTACTGGGGATGTGCCCGCAACCAAGGTACATGCTCTTGACCAGAATCAAACCTGGAACCCTTCAGTCTGCAGGCCGACGCTCTATCCACTGAGCCAAACCGGTTACGGCCAAAGATGTATATTTTTGATATTTATTTTATATATTTAAATGACATTTAACAAAGAAAAATCAACCAAAAAAATGAGTTCGTGTGTCACCTCTGACACGCATGTCATAGGTTCGCCATCACTGGCCTAGACCCTCTACTTAAACACTAAACTGACTCCATGTGTAAGAGCTGTGCCTCCTGCGACAGGGGTGCCGGGGTGAGGCCAGACCCAGGGAAGGGCATGGACGGGACAGTCATAGCACGTGTCACACACACACACACACACACACGTGTGTACATACACATGTGCTCACAGTGCCTGTGTACACGCCCGCATCCACACGTGTGCACAATGCACTCACACGCACACACAGGTGCACACACATGTGCTGGGCCTCCTTACTCTGCCAGAGTTTCCTCCTCAGCGGACAAACCGGGCTTGGGACCAATGCCAGGGCATCTGGGGTCTCTAGGGGGCAAAGCAGTGTTAGGGGGGTGAGGGGGAGGGGAGCTCATGGGGGCTCCACTCCCACCCTCCCAGCCTCAGTGGGAGGGACAGCTGGGCTCAGGGTGAGGGAGAGATCTGGGGTAGCCTTACCCGGGGGACCCAAGTCAGCCGCCTCAGCTGGTGCCCCGCGGGGGTCCCCATTGTCCAGGAGGAGGCCACAGAGCTGGCTCAGAAACTCCTTCAGGCCGTCCAGCTGCTGATCTGCATCCCACTGTGGAGGGCTCAGCGGCCCAAGAGGCCCTGGGAGCGCCAGGAGCTGTGATCCCTGCGTCCCAGGGCAGCTGCAGTGAGCCGGGAGCAAGGGGCAGGCACTCTGGTCCCTCAACTTGCCACCCTTTGTCCTGGTACCTGGAGGAAGGTTCGGTCATCCAACTGCTCCAGGAGGTCCTGGGTCCAGCGGTCAAAGACAGCCGTGGCCTCCAGGTGGCCCCGTAGCCGCTGCTCCTCCTCCTGGGCCTGCGCCAGTGCCTGTGTCTTGGCCACCTCGATGGCCCTCAGTGCCTCAATGCGACGCATCTCCAGGGCCTGCAGCAGGCGGCTGAACTTGCCGGAGACCACGGAAGCCAGGTTGCAGGCCGAGCTCTGGATGGGCACAGGAGGAGCCTAGGGTGGCCAGGGCCGCCGCTGCCCACTGGGCTGAGGGGTGCGGATATGGGGAGACAGGGTCCCTGGAACCTCTTTCCCCCCGTTCAGCCCCTCACTCCCTGATGCCGGGAGGCATTTCCAAGGTGGCTCACACCTACTGCCCAGGGTCCCAGGGGCCAGCTGGTGGCTGCCTGAAGAGCACAACATGAAGTGGGGGGTGGGACAGGCAGGCCGGTACCTGGATCTGGCTGCTTCGCTGCTGCAGCTCCTGTAGCTGGCTCTCGGCCTGGGTGGCCTGCTGCCGGGTGACCTCCAGCATGGCTCTCAGCTGGGCCTGTGGTGTCCCCCAGGGAACAGGGGACGAGTGACAAGAGGGGGCCAGCATTGGCTGCGAAGTGTCCCCTCCTCGTGCCGCCCCCGGCGAGGCTGACCGGGGGGCACGAGGGGAAGAGGGCACTCCTGTTTGGCGGTGCCCCCTCTGGTCCCCTCAAGGATGTAAATGTAACGTCCTGGAGCAGGAAAAACTCCCGCTGCCGGATCTGCTTCCCTGCACCTGGCCAAGCACCTCTCCTGCCACCCACACTGCCAGGCGGGGATGGGTGTTGTCCCCACTGCCAGACGAGGAAATGGGAGAGAAGTTGACAGTGTGGCCAAAGCCAGCAGATCTTCCTGAGTCCGGCCCGTGTAGGAAGTGGGTCATCTGACTCCCCCAGAGGACACCCAGCAGCCCTACTTCACTTCCCCTCCTTCTAGCAAAATCCCCCTCCACTGGCACAAGTGCCATCGGTTGTACCACCCGTCCCTGTCCCTGTCCCTCCTTGTTGCTGTCACCCACTGGCCCACTGCAGGCCCTCATGCTTAGTGCCGGGTCTGTGCCACCAACAGTATCACCCAGGCCTGTTCCCGAGACCTGGGCGGCCCCCGGCGTCACCTCCAGCCCTCTGGCTCCGGCTCCCGACCTCCTCACCTGCACAGCCCTTAGCTTCACCCCTCAGCTCCTCACCCCGCACCCCTCCTGGGCCTTGTCCCCGGCTTGGGATCTATTCTTAGCGCCTGCTTTCTGACCACCACCCATGCACACAGAGAGCGCGGAGGGGCCCCGGGGTGTCACCTCGCGCTCCCGGC